GGGTTCTCGCCTGCTACACTAAATTGAAATACATACTGAGATACATATATATAAATAATAAAACTATCTACCACTTTCAGAGCACTTACTATGTGCCAGGCATTGGTCTACACTTTTATATGTATTATTTATTTCAACTTCACAATAGCCCTATCAAGTAGGTTCTATTATTCTTTCCTTTTTACAAATGAGGAAACTGAGGCACAGAAGTTAAATCATTTGTCCAAATTCCTGCAGCTAGTAAATATCAAAGCTGAGATTATGAACCCCACAGTTTGTCTCCAGAGTGTGCTCTTAACCCCAGTACTGTGGCATAAAAGTCCTGAGTCCCAATAAACTGTCAATGAGGCTGGGCGCGTGGCTCACGGCCTGTAATCCTAGCACTCTGGGAGGGCCAAGGCGGAGAATTGCTTGAGATCAGGAGTTCGAAACCAGCCTGAGCAAGAGCGAGACCCCGTCTCTACTATAAATAGAAAGAAATTAATTGTCCAACTAATATATATAGAAAAATTAGGGCATGGTGGCACATGCCTGTAGTCCCAGCTACTCGGGAGGCTGAGGCAGGAGGATTGCTCGAGCCCAGGAGTTTGAGGTTGCTGTGAGCTAGGCTGATGCCACGGCACTCACTCTAGCCTGTGCAACAAAGCGAGACTCTGTCTCAAAAACAAAACAAAAAAAAAAAACAAACTGTCAATGATTATTATTCTTCAGCAGGTAGGATGGGATACCTGTGTCCTGGGACCAGAAGTGGAAAGAGGTAGGAGGACGTGCAGAAAATCCCTCAACGAATGACAACTTGAAAGAGGGACGGCCTGCCTGGAGTCTGGCCAGTTAAGAACAGGGCAGATAATACTTGCGTGCAGCAGGAGCGTGGTGCTGCTTCACACCACGTGCTGAAGCTGACTGGGAGCTACGGTAACAAGAGAAGATTCTGGGCGTATTGGAAGGTAGAGCCATGGGGTTTGCTGAAGGAGCAAATGTGGGAAAAAAAGAGAAAGAAGACAAGGATGACAGCAAGGCCTGAGCATCTGTGGAAGGAGGGGGAAGGCTGGCCACAGATAGAACAGGTTTGGGGTTTTGGAACAGGAGTTCGGTTTTGAACATGTTGAGTATGAGATGAGATATGAGCACTTAGTAGGCAATTGGATATGAGAGTCTAAATTTCCCAGTTGAAGTCCAAGCTGGAGATTTAGATTTGGTCATTGTCAGAGTAGCTGAGACCACCTAGGGAGGGAGTGAAGAACAGATTGGCTACACCCTTCGGCTCAGCCCCAGCTACCTACCTAGACCAACCTTCTGCCCACTCCTTGTGGTCATTCTAAGTGGCAGCTCTGCCAAGGTAAGTGTGGGCACACTTGAAATACAACAGTGGTGTAGAGCTGGAGATGCTGATGTCAGCAAACGACCTAGCCAGAGAGAATTATAATGCTAAAAATTTGAAAGTTGATTTCCCATAACAAGTATAACTTTCTTACAGTTTTAATAGAAGTAAACTAAGTCCAGCTTAACCAGCCATTCCTTGGAGTCTGCTGACTTTACACAGAGAACCTTCCACCTTTAAAAACGACTGTCTAATAAGAAGGTATTTTACACCTTGAAAACCTCAACCATGTTGAGTGTTAATGGAGTGATTAAAACCACAGAAATGAATCTGAGTTAAAAGTTGAAATCCCATAAAACAGGTTCCATTTTCCTACATAGGACAAGATTCTTCTTACATAAAACTTCATGTCTGAAGCACATGCCTCCCTGGGAACTAGGACCACACAAAACAACATTAGGTGCCCTTCCTGCAGATCTTCTACCACCTTCTATTCATCCACCATGACACTTAAATATACTATGTCATAGTTACCCTTTTATTTCCTTGGTCCCTCATATTGGATTGTAACCTTCTTGACAAAGGTGGGAAATGTTTTTTTATTTTTTTCTCCATTGAATTTCCAACACCCAGCACATAGTAGCCACTGAAATACGTGTTGAAAAACAAGGGACAAGGCATTTCAGGATTTTTTCTAATAGGATTACAAGCTATTCTAGGGAGTTCTGATTTGTTTGGCATTTCCCAGTGCTTCTCCTGGGTGGCTTGAAATGTTGCCCTAAACCCAAAGCCGTTCCAGAGAAGAATGACAGGTCATTCTAGAGGTCAAGTCCTCTAGTTCGTTCTTCCCAGTGAAAGTCCTGGATGGCTGGACCTCTCTGGATTCTCAGGTTGTGGCAAATGCCTCAGCACCCACAGTTCATTCACCCCAAGGATGCCTAGGTTTTTAGATGTCAGCACAGGAAAGCAAGGGATAAGTGAACCATCTGATAGCCAACCAGGGTGCCTTGCCAGGTCTGCTTCAGGTGTTTTTCAAACTCAACTCACTAGAGAAAGAAGGCAAAGGAGGAGGCTCTGGGTGGCCTCTAGCTCTCACCCCAGCTTTCACCAGAGCAGCTCTGCTGTGATCTGTTTATGTATTGGGATTCTGCTGCTGGGGTGGAGACAGGGGCCTCTTCTCTTGAAACAGACAGCTGATTGTCTCTCCTCCCTGGGCATCAGGCTGTGGATACTGCATAGCGTCATGGGCTCAGAGGAGGCCATCCAGATGTGCTGTTTATCCCAGTCATTGAGGAAATGGTCAAAAAGCAAACTGAAGATGACTATCTAGTCATTGAAACCAAGCCACAGCCTGATGGAAAAGGCTTGAAAAAATGTGGAACTTTCCTGGCAAGGGGATAGGAGCAGGTCCAGGGGAAAGTGCACAGACGCCAAGCAAGGGGAACTCACAGGGCACAGCTCAGAGTGAAAATGCTGAAAATCTACATGTTAGAGAGAGTTGTATATATCACATACATGTCTCTGATAGGAGTCATCTAAAGGTAAGAGAGAGAGACCAGGGAGATCTGGGGTCTGGGACAAGGGAGTTGTTTGCCTCTGCTCTGTCTGGATTTTTGCTGAGCTGCAATCTGGTTGGTGGCTTGGAGTGGGCCTAGGTGTGGCCAGAGGCTCTGACCCAAGACTGATCTTGCCCTTGACACAAAGGACCAGACACTGAGGCCCAGGTCCTCATAGCTCATGGAATTTCAAGAGTGGAAAGGATATCAGAATCTCCAAGCCTTGTCACTGTTTGAATCCCCTAAGAACATAGTCACAAAGTGGGCACTTACTCCTGCTCAGCCACTCCCTGTGAGTAGCCATGGTGGGCAGCAAGGAACCAGAGCCCACAACAAGACTATGGGCAGACTTTCAGCCCCGCTTGAGCAGATGCCTCCTTGCCCTACCATGACTGGCTGCTGCTGCCTCTCGCCTAATGACCACCTTTGGAATTGGAATTCTTGTTTCTGTGACATGTATGTATCAAGTGATAATGGACCCAGATTCACCTTGCACACCTTTCTTTTCAATTTTGTCTCTTCCTCATATTTGAATTTGCAAATGATTGCTAATTGGCTTATCTATGTAACAACTTTCATGGCTCATCTCAATTCCAGAAGTGGTGGTAAATTGCCAAGTTCTCTGCTACCCCCATGTACAAAATCAGGGAGGGGGAGGTAACACCCAGGAATGAGGCTAGAGCTTCAGTGAGGCAAGCAGATGCTCACCAGTTCTTCCAGCAAATTCCTCTGCCACCCCCTACACTACCTGAAAAGAGAAGGCTCACTTATCCTTTTTCCAAATTGCTAGGTATTTTGAGTTGCTTGCCCTCTCCTTGAACCCCACTCTAGAGGGGTTAGGGAAGCAACAGGAGGGAAGGGACCTCTTGTTTCTCCTTGCCTAGTTGATCAGGGAACACTCTGTCAAGGGGTGAAGATGCTAAAACCCCAGGGGATTCAGCAATTCCACTCCCAGGAATATACCTAAAAGAATTGGAAACAGATGTTCAAACAAATTATATGCAAATATTCATAGATGCACTATTCACAGTAGCCAAAAGGTAGAGCAACCCAAATATCCATCAATTAATGAGTGGATGAACAAAATGTAGTATACCCATACAATAGACAGGCGTCCTCAAACATGCGGCCAGCCAAGGACGTTTATCTGGTCCCCCGGGTGTTTTTGCCACCACTGCCTGTTCTACTTAGCAGCTGACTCGTTCCGGGCCCACAGTGCGCATGTGTGGAATGTGCGCTGCACTCTCCAATGGCCCTCCAGTGGTCTGAGGGACAGTGAACTGGCCCCCTGTTTAAAAAGTTTGAGGACCCCTGCAATAGAATATTATTGTCATAAAAGGATGGAGTTCTGATACATGCTATAGCATGAATGAACCTTGAAAACATTATAAGTAAAAGAAAGCCAGACAGAAGGCCACATATTGTAGGATTCCATTTATATGAAATATCCAGAATAGAGAAGTCCATAAAGAAAGCAGATTAGTGGTTGCCAGGGGCTGGGAGGTGGCAGTGGAAGGTGAGTGACTACTAGTTGATATAGTGTTTCCCTTTGGGTTGATGAAAACATTCTGGAACTAGATAGCAGTGATGGTTACGCAACATTGTGAATATACGAAATTCCACTGAATGAATTGTGCACTTTAAGATGGCTATAATGGTGAATTTTATGTTAAATGACTGTCTTAGTCTGCTTGGACTGCTAGAACAAAACCATAAACTGGTTTATAAACAACAGAGATTTATTGCTCAAAGAACTGGAGGCTGGGAAGTCCAAGATCAAGGTATTGGTATCTGGTGAAGGCCCACTTCCTTGTAGAGCCTTCTTGTGTCCTCATAGTGCAAGGCATGAGGGTATCTCTTAGGCCTCTTTCATAAAGGTACTAATCTCGTTCCTAACCACCTCTTGGAGGCCCCTCTCTTCATACCATTGCCTTGGGGATTAGAATTTCCACATATGAATTGGGGGCCAGGGGTACGGAGGGAGCAGCTGGGAAACACAAACATTCATACCATAGCAGAATTTTACCTAAATGAAAAACAACAGTAATCCCAGCACTATGAGAGGCTGAGGCAGGAATATCACTTGAGGCCAGGAGTTTGAGGCTGTAGTGAACTATGATCACACCACTACACTCCAGCCTGGGAGACAGAGCGAGACCCTGTCTCTAAAAAACAAACAAACAAAAACAACAACAAACCCAGCGAGGGGGGAGAAGTTGGCTCTAGAAGACCTCTTGGAGCTTCGTCTCCTCATCTGTAACATGGTGATACTGATGCCTCCCATTCTGCATCCCCCAGAGGTGGCATGAGTATACATCATAAAATGTAACACTAGCGCACAGTACACAATTAATGCTAATTGCCTTCTTTTCTGTAAAAGCATCTAAACCTATTTGCCCCCTTTATTTCCTTATTTATTACAACTGTGGTTTGTGGCTCCAGCCAGGCAACCTGTCTTCACGTGGGCTTTGCCCAGTCCTTCTCACTGCACGTGGCAGGCTCTCCCACCATCTGGGATGTCCTGCCTCCTGTGTTACAGATCACTGTGGTCCTTGGGTCACTGCCACAGAATCACCTGAGAGCTGATCCCCTGGGGTCTACACATTGAATCAGACTCTCTAAGAGTAGTCTGGGGAAGGGTCCTGGAGACCTGCATTTGTAATGATTACTCCAGATGATGAGCATGCCTATTAAAGTTTGAGACCACTGTTTTAATTTATGTCTTTACCATTTCTTCTAGGAAGTCTGCCCGGATTTCTCCCCCAAGAAGCACTCTGATACTCAGCGTGCTCCTTACCTGTGTCCAACATTCTGAGTGTCCAAGGGTCAGATTCACCTTGGGTTCTCCTGGGTGTGCACTCTCCCACTGGACTCAGGAACCCCCAGGAACAGATGCCCAGCTCTCTTTCCTCTTGTCACCCTCAGCACAGATGGCTCTGGTTCCTCCTAGTGTAGTAGGTTCTACTGGGATGCTGTAGGAAGTGAGACACTTTAGTTTCAAAGTTCTTAGAATCCTGTTCTGTTTACTTCTGCAGATACTTGGGAGAACCTAGGTTCTCTGTCCTCCTACCATTCTATTCTGACTTTCCTAGATGGTATGGAAATTGCATTACTGTGTCACATCAGCCTTTGCTTTTCCAATCCCATCTTACCCAGGATGCACTAGGTGTGGGCGGGCTCCCACCACACCCTGACAAGTGACCATGGATCCTGGAGCCGGGCCAGAGTCATCTCTGACTGTCAATGAGCAGGTATCATCTGGGGCAGGAAGAGGTGGGTGGGTGGGGTGAGGCACCGAGGGGTGTGGGCAAGGGAGGAAGACTCCACAGAGCCCCTTAGTTAAGGTCTCTTACCAAGGTTCATGGCCATGTCACTGGCCCAGAGGTAGTTGCCAGCTAGGATTTCTTAGGGGCTGAGTTTGGAGATTTAAACTGTGACTTTAAAAGGTGGAATGAAAATGTACAAACATGTATAACTTCACATGGGGAAAGATTTGAACATCAAGTAATTTACTGTTTAGTTTTTCTTCTTTTTTTTTTTTTGAGACAGAGTCTCACTCTGTTGCCTGGGCTAGAGTGCCATGGCGTCAGCCTAGCTCACAGCAACCTCAAATTCCCAGGCTCAGGCAATCCTTCTGCCTCAGCCTCCTGAGTAGCTGGGACTACAGGCATGCGCCACCATGCCCGGCTAATTTTTTCTATATATTTTTAGTTGGCCAATTAATTTCTTTCTATTTTTAGTAGAGACGGGTCTCGCTCTTGCTCAGGCTGGTTTTTAACTCCTGACCTTGAGCAATCTGCCCGCCTCGGCCTCCCAGAGTGCTAGGATTACAGGCGTGAGCCACCATGCCTGGCCTAGTTTTTCTTCTTGCATATATATATATTCTAATTTTTTAGCAGTGACTGTTTATTACTTATGTCATTTTTAAAAGGAGAAAAGAGATTAACATCTCTTAAAATGTAATCGGAATGAAGTCCCTTATAGGTCAAGTTTGAGTCAGTGAGGAAACTGCTTTTGGGGATTTATTTCACTTCGACTCTCCTAAAGGGTCATTGTCACTTTTTCCAGCACAGTCTTTGGCTGGATCCAATTTTCAGGCTTAAGGAATGTGTTATGAAAGTGGTGTTGGGCACAGGCCAAGTACAGGGGAGGCCTGACACGAAGCTTCTTAATGTAGAGTTTGTCTCTGATTCTTTAGTTGCCCAGTTGGCAGCATTTCCGTGCTGGGGGCACAGAGCGGAGTACGGGGTGCACAGCCAGGGGAAGACCACGTGTCCTGAGGGCTTGGGGACCGCCCGCATCACTTGTGCATGGAGGATCCTCTTAGGACTGGGCATGCCCACAGCAGATGGCACAGCGGGAGCCGCAGGCCCAGACACAGAGCTCCAGTCCAAGAGTGGGGCAGTGTGGAGAGGGAGAGGCCACATCTTCAGTACTCTTCACCCTTGTTTCAGGAAGTTAGCTTGCAGGGAAATTCTGAGCCTTTACCCTAGAGTTTTGGAAATAAAAGTTAATCAGCATTGTGGAGCGTTCATTTTCCACCCCCTTATCTTTGGGGATCTTCCAGTTGGTTTCAAGGGAAGTAAAAAGGGATTTGCTTCCTGGCCCAACTTAAGCTGTGGCTACTGTGTTAGGAGCCCTCGTAGTCACACTCTGATATCCTAGCCACCATGGGGACATCCTTGCAAGGTTGTGGTACAGACCACCTACCACTCCCAGAACTGAGTCCAAGAGAGGGAGCAAACAGAATTGTCTGCCATGTGGTTTGGCTCTGTGGGACTTTTTCCGGCAGTGTCAGGCCCTTCTCCCTGTCTCTAGGGCCTGCTTTCTTCTAGCAGCAGTGTCCCTGCAGTCAGGAAGCTGCAGCCTGCCCAGGTTCTGGGATCCTCACAGAGCACACAGCCCTCTGGACAGGAAGTCTGCATCCTGAGGTGCCCTCTCCTCTGTACCCCAACATGACCAGAGCTTCTGTCCCAGGGTGGTGCCGGCCCCTCCCCCCAGCAGCACCCCCATGCTCTGCTTACAGGTCATCGTGATGTCAGGCCACGAGACCATCCGAGTGCTGGAAGTCGGAGTGGATGCCCAGCTCCCCACTGAGGAGGAGGGCAAAGGACTGGAGGGTGTGACCACTGAGGGCGCCCAGAGTGGAGGCCCCACTGAAGCCAGCGAAACTGCCGGTGAAGCTGGGCCGGACAACCCAGACTCCTCTGCGGAGGCAACTGGTATGAAGGCCATTGCTCCCACCTGGTATTGATCCACCAGAGTTCCTTCTGTGATGCTCCAGGGAGCCAGCATGTGTCCCTGGGGCCCAGGTGGCCTTAGGGTCTTGTCTTCCTGTCCCCTGGACAGCTTCTAGTCACTTCCACGCCTAAACTGGAATGGGATGGGAATGTGGAAGGAGGTTGGCAGGACTCAGTTCAGGTGGTTGCATCAACCTCGGAGGGCTCCTAGATCTAAACCAGACCCTCAGCCCAGTGCAGAGAGGACTGGACCTTCGGGATCCTGCCAGCCTTTCTAACTCAGTCCTTTTTGTAGTAGAGCTGGGAGGTCTCAGGAGCTGAGGCTGGGAGGGCATTTTACCTACTTCAGATTAAGGATGGATGCAGATTATTTAGGACTTTGCAGAATTTCTGCTTCCCTCTCACAGCAGACTTACAGGTGCCACCCTTCTCCAAAGATGACTATAGGGCATGAACTTGATTCTTCTGCAGATAGCACTGAGATAGCCAGGGCTATTCTAGAGCCTGAGCTGTGGTGTGACTCACTGCTCTCTGGCCATGGGGCACCCTTTCATTGACCTTCCTAGGAAGTACTGGGCCTCCTTTGCTGGTTCCCCAGAACACCGCACTTCATCTCCTCTGGTCCCCCCTTACCTAGGCTGGAGATGTGGGCTGGTGGGGCTAGGCCAGGAGGAGAAGCCAAGAGAACAAATGAGAACAGACAAACTTTGGAGAAACAATAACTCCTTAACAAAAAAACTGCATGACTTCACATTACTTGCTCTACCTGCAAAGCAGTACGCAGATTCTTTGGGACCCTAATAACCCGAGTTATTGTTTTCCTTTTTGAATAAAGGAATGACAAGAGACATGAGCATTTTTACCTAGCCTGGAAGTGCTCGGCCTACATGTTGAGGCCAGGATGGGCCATCACCTGTTCCCAAGGGGCAGTGCCCTGGAGAGCAGGCGGGGAAAACAAGAAGTCTACTATGTCCCTGCCACTCTTTCCATTCAGCATAGCCATTGAGGAATGGACGGAGCCCCTTTTCAGAACATTTGGAAGGTTTCTCAGGTTTATTCTCAGTGCCCCAACTTCCCTTTCCACCCTTTTATCCATCCTGTATATCCCATTTCCTCTGGTGCCTCAATTCTGCTCCTCTTCCAAACCTGCTTTCAGTAATGGATCCTGAATCAATTATTTATACCTTCCCATGAGTGTTTATGGTGGTGTGCATCTTCTTCCAGAGATTTGGGTACTTAAGCCTTTCATGAAAGCCTTCTTCTCTGTAAAGGAATTTTATCATCGTCAAGCAGGTAAGGGAGGTATTTTGATGGTACCATCTAAGAAGCTGCCAGCTTAGCTTGATGGAACCTTTCTAGATGTGCAGTATTAAGGGTTTCCTCTTATTAAAACAAAACAGAACTAAGTAATTGGAACCTTTTTCAGAATGAAAAAAGAATCTAAGGCTGGGCGTGGTGGCTCATGCCTGTAATCCTAGCACTCTTGGAGGCTGAGGCGGGAGGATCACTCGAAGTCAGGAGTTCAAGACCAGCCTGAGCAAGAGTGAGGCCCCTCCTCTACTAAAAATAGAAAGAATTTAGCTGGACAATTAAAAATATATAGAAAAAATTAGCTGGGCATGGTGGTACATGCCTGTAGTCCCAGCTACTTAGGAGGCTGAGACAGGAGGATCTCTTGAGCTCAGGAGTTTGAGGTTGCTGTGAGCTAGGTAGATTCCACAGCACTCTATCTCAGGCAACAGAGTGAGACTCTGTCTCAAAAAAAAAAAAAAAAAAGAATCTAGTGGTTTGTATCACTCCAAATTACTATCCCATCTTTGTCACACATATATATTTTTATAATTTTGGCCAAAGGGTAGAGTATCTAGTATGATACCACCATATTATTTCACATGCCCATTTCCATTATTTACATAGATTCACACACCTGCTTCTGGTTTGGGCCATTGTAAAAACTGTCTGATTTTTCATTCTCATAAATGAATAGTACTGCTTTGAATGTCTTTGTATTGGTCTTTTAAATTTTTTTTTTCATATTTTATTTATTTATAGAGAGGGGATCTTGCTATGTTGCCCAATCTGGACTTGAACTCCTGGGCTCAAACTGCCCTCCCACCTCAACCCCTCAAGTAGCTGGGATTACAGGCACATACCACCACACCCAGCTTAGAAAACTTTTTGTGTGTGTGTGATATAGTGCACTAAAATTTCTTTTGAAGAGAAATTAATTATTAACATAGGAGGAAGTCATCACATGGAAAAATACAAAATCTTGCTATCAATGAGAAGAAAGGTGATTGACTTTAAGGTATCATGTGCCTTTTAAGCCAGAAAATAAATAAAAAGTGATAAAACCTAACTTGGGTGTTGTTGTGAGAAATAGGTAAATTGTTGAAGGCTGTGTGAATTGGTTTAGTCTCTCTGTACAGTCTAGCAGGAAGCAACAGAAGCTCTAAATGTTTGTAAACCCTCAGACCCCATGGTCCTACTTTGGAAATATGCCCTAATAAAATGAATATTTCATTTCTTCAGATGCTAAGCTTTTATCGTTTTGTTTGTCACATTCCCATTTTCTCACTTTCCTTTTTATGCTTCATTACATTTTTGTCCAAAAGGATATTTTTTAAATTTTAAGATTTTCAGATTATCCTTAACCTGTGATTTTTTTTTTCAATAGTTAGAAATGTATCTCTCCTCCACAGAGGAGATAAACCTTCCATTTCATTTCCCTTTGCTATTTTACAAGGCCTTTGTTGCTGCATGCTTGTCTCTTTAACCCTCCAACTACCTAGGTTTTATTATTACATGCTGTGAACAGTATAGTTTGGGTTAGTTCGATGCCTTTCCAGATTAAAACACAGGCTAAGACTGCAGGGTTAGGTAGAACCCCGAAGGTTCTTTGATTCATTGGTTTCCACTGTGTGCTGCATCACACCAGAGCTTTAAAGAAAAAAACAGAGAGAGGAGAGGTATCTGACTGCTGCTCCTGAACATTCTGGTTCAGCAGGCCTAGAGTAGGGCCAAGAGATAAATGGCCAGCGGTATTAAGAAGCCACTGATATGGTCCCATGTCCATCACCCACTATCCAGACTCCTTTTAATGTCTCACCATATATTAAATAATAATCCTCCTCCTCACCATCATGTGGATGTGAAGAGGTTTCCTGGAGGCACCCCAATACCTGAATAGGCCATGGTAGCAAGAAGAGGCAAAAAGCTCCAGTTCATGGGAAGTTTCTTTAGAAGCTCACAGAAGCTGCTCATCCTGACTTTAGCCCTCAGGGAGTGGTGGAGCAAAGCTGTCTGGCCTGGAGAGCCCCGTGATCCTGCAGTGTGGCAAAGACATGTCCAGTTTTCAGGGACTGTTGCTTCTAGGACTTTGTCCTTCAGGAACCCTGCCCCTTGCCCAAGGCAACACCCACGTCCAAAAAGTAGCCTGAAGGTGGGGTGAACAATGATTTCCCTCCCTGACAGGTGTGCTTTAGGCCCCTCTCCTGATTATGTGACAGGTCCTATGAGGGGCTAATATGCAGCTGTACAGCCTGCATTTTCTTCATCTAGATGGGGGAGAGGGTAGCTTACCTTCCAGATCTGGCACAGGGCTCCTCAGCCTCCTATTCTCACTCCCAGTAGCATCTGGCAAGCTTCGAAGCTGCCTCATGGCTGAGGAAGGAAGTTGGTTTCGGGTTATGCAGAAATGCAACGTAGGGCTGAGTTACCACTTCAGGCTACAGACATGGCATTCTGCTCTGATGACCCCTCCACTCACTTCCAGCTCACTCCTTGTCCTTCTTTCTCTCAATGCCACATGAAGTGAAGTCACTCCCGGGGATCCCTCCGAGCCCGGCCCCCACCATTGCCACCTTCAGCCAAGCCCCAAGCCAGCCTCAGGCATCGCAGACCCTGACACCACTGGCTGTGCAAGCTGCCCCCCAGGTAAGGGCCACCCTGGGGAGCTGGACAGAGGGCAGTGGGTAGAGCGACGCATGGGACAGCTGGTATGGGGTGGCCATGGGCTCTGGGAACTTCATGAGGCAGAACAGAGAAGGGGCTGTGGCTTGAGGGAAGGAATCTCCTACTAGGCACCCCCTGCATTACCCCCGCCCATAGCAGGCACATTTGGAAGAGAAGATCTGAGTTTGCCAGGCCATCTCCTGGAGCCCAGCAAGAAATTCTATTAACTCTTTCATGCCGCCAGAGTTTCGGTTTAATGACTAACTGAGTGAATGCCCTTGTCAGTTTCTCCAGTGGATGCCTGGAAGAGTTAATGAGTTATTCACAGAGCCCTCATTTAGAGCCAGGGAGCGGCCCCCAGTGCCGTGAGGAGCTGTGAACAGGCATGCAGAGCTCCCTGTGACCTTTTGCTGAACGAACTGGTCTCTAAGTCACGGAGTCAAGGGTCTCCTCCACCAAGGCTTCTTGGAGGCCTCTGTGGGCCCTTGACCACTTGGTTCCACCAGTCTCTTCTCCCTGTTCCCTGGCCACGAAGCGCTGGTCCTGTGGACAAGGGCCTGGGGAAGGTCCGGGAGGCAGCAGACTGTGGTGGGAGAGGCCTGTGTACCCTTCCCCACGCCGTGAGCAGGGCCCGGCCTGTCCTGAATTCGGGAGACTCCTCTGGAAGCAGGATAGTTGGTCCAGGCACCCCCTCAGGTTTAGGCCTCCAGCTAGGGTTTGGCTCCTTCCCCCTCATGTGGCCTTTTCCCTATTGCCCTCAGAATGCTTTGTTTGTGCTCAGCTGGGTCTGAGAGACCCAGTGTTTGCGCTGTCAATGTTGATTTTTTACTTTTTCTTTTCTTTTTGAAATCTTGTTTGCTTTTGCAGGTCTTGACTCAGGAAAACTTAGCCACAGTTCTGACAGGAGTTATGGTTCCAGCAGGGGCAGTTACTCAACCTCTTCTTATCCCCATCAGTATTGCAGGTCAAGTGGCTGGTCAGCAGGGGCTGGCCGTGTGGACAATTCCTACAGCAACCGTGGCTGCCCTCCCAGGACTGACCGCTGCTTCTCCTACGGGGGGAATTTTCAAGCCACCTTTAGCCGGTCTCCAAGGTAACGGCAACTCTTCCCAGGACTGCACCACCAGGCCCCCACCACCCTACACTACCACCCCTGCACCTTGCCATGTTGGACTCAGAACCCGCAGCCCACTCAGGGTGACAGCCCTGGAGTCTGGATCTGTTGTCTTGGGCATCCAGCCACAGAGCCACTGCACCACCGTGGGACTCTAGGCCATGACACCACGCTGGCCCAGCAGGCCTTTCTTACTTCAGCCAACTGTCTGAGACGGCCCCTCTCCCCCAGCGCCAGAACTCACCCCATGACCAGCTCCTGAGAAGGACTGCAAGAAGATTCAACATCTGGTTCTTGAACCTCCACATCTCCTGGCCCAAGGGAGGGGGGATGAGAGATGTTGGTGCCTGCCAGCCCTTCGAGGATCAAGGGAATCGTGGCTGCCTGCTCCCCTTGCCCACTGCCCCACCCCCTCTCAATCTTGTGCCAGATCCCTTGGGATTGGAGCTGCTCTGGGCTGTGGCTAGGCACTTGAGCACCTCTGTCTCTGCCTTGCTCCATAGCAGCTGCCGTGCTGAACACCGCTCTCCCGGCACCCGTACAAGCTGCCCCACCAGTACAGGCCTCCTCGCCGGCCCAATCCCGGCCACCAGGCCAGCCCCAGACGCTGTTCCAGACCCAGCCGCTGCTGCAGACCACACCTGCCATCCTACCGCAGCCCACTGCTGCCACCGCCGCTGCCCCCACCCCCAAGCCAGTGGACACCCCCCCACAGATCACCGTCCAGCCTGCAGGCTTCGCGTTTAGCCCAGGAATCGTAAGCTGCCGCCCTCACTCAGGGCTGACCAGGGATGGACTGAGTCGGGCCAAGGGTGGAACTGACCTGTCCCACAGTGGAGGACCAGCCCCTGAATACAGCCCTTTTCCAACACATCAGCAGAGATGGGCTCTCTCTGAGGCCTTCTCTTTGCAGCTGCCAGCCCGTCCATCCCAGAAAAAGGCAGACAACCCCTGCCAAGAGGGCCAGGAAAATTCTCCAGAACCTGAACCGCTGGACCAGGCTTGGAGGGTGGGATGATGTCTGGGGATTGCAAGCTTGTGAGCGGTCACTAAGGTGCAGCCAGCAGCTTACAGCTCTGCGCTGTTGTCCATCCAGTGTAGCTCCTGGCTTGGCCGTAGGAGCTGTTAGATGTGACTAGAATCACATCAGCCTCTCCAGCCTGGCCCTGCTACCCTCCCAGGCCTGGCCTGAAAGATTACCCCGAATTATTGTTCCATGACTGTGGCCCCACCCTTCCCTGCTGACCCCTGCATCCCTGGAAACTATTCAGCCGGTGGTCATGGGCCTGCAGCCCACGTTCACATCTGCCCACCCCAGTGCCCTCAGCCCTCTTCCCTCGGCCTCGGGCTCTTCTCACCCCCTGGCCTCTGAGCAAGGCTCTTCCTCCACCCACAGATCAGTGCTGCTTCCCTCGGGGGACAGACCCAGATCCTGGGCTCCCTCACTACAACTCCAGTCATTACCAACGCCATTCCCAGCATGCCAGGGCTCAGCAGCCAGATCCTCACCAATGCTCAGGGACAGGCAAGTGGTCAAAGGCAGGGCTGAGGGGTGGGGACTGTGGAGAAGCTGGAAGGGGGTGGCCAGGACTTGGGCTAGGGGTCAGAGAAATGCAGTGTGTGGAGCTGCGGTTCACATCCCTGGGCCACAGCTCTCTGCCGAGGCGGGGGCCAGGCAGGGGTGTAGCCACCCCCTGCCCTAGAGGCACTCACTCTAGTTGGGGGGTTTCATTTATGGAGCACCCACTTTGTGGCCAGGCTCTGTTCTCGGAGCTTTCTCATACATTATCTCACTTTGTTTTGAGTACAAATCTATTAGATGGAGATTTTTATTCCCATTTTCTAGGACAGAAGGCTGAGGTTCAGAGAAATGAAGCCACATAGCTAAAATGTGGCAGAGCAAGGATGTGTATCCAGGTCTCTCTGAATCCACATTCACACCTATTCTTGTTCCACCGCAGCTCTGAGGATGGAATGAAGGAAGTAGCCTCTAGCCTGTGAATCCTTCACTTTATTGATGAGGAAACTGAGGCCAGAGGGGGTTAAGTGATTTGTTAGTCTCTCCCCCTGACAGTGTGAGGATTTGGGTCAGGTGGAGCTGGACACTACTCTCACACCTGGGGTCCCTGCCTTATTTCCTGCCAGGTTATTGGAACACTCCCGTGGGTAGTGAACTCAGCTAGTGTGGCGGCCCCAGCACCAGCCCAAAGCCTGCAGGTCCAGGCTGTGACCCCCCAACTGTTGTTGAACGCCCAGGGCCAGGTGATTGCGACCCTGGCCAGCAGCCCCCTGCCTCCACCCGTGGCTATCCGGAAGCCAAGCACGCCTGAGTCCCCTGCTAAGAGTGAGGTACAAGGGATGGAGGAGGGGAGGGGGGATGGTCAATGCTCTCTGGTATGGGCGGCTCCCTCCAGACTGCCGGATAGGACAACATCTTCTGAAACTCCTAGGAGAGCAGGGTACCTCTCTGGGTGAGGTCCCAGAGTAGAAGGCCCATGTGAGTCCACACATTTTGCCCAGGGAAACAGCACCCCCCCTAAGCCCCTACCCACACACACCAAGATCAGTATATGTGCCCTCAGAGGCCGGTGCCATTCTAAGATGGTGGGGGGGAGGAGGTGGTCTGGACTAGGCCTGGATCAGCTCCAGGGTGAACAAACTGCCAGAAAAGCCCTGGAAGGTTTTGCACCCCTCCCCCGCCTTCACAGCATCACCCTTCCACTCTTTTACTCTGCACAGTGGCTTTGATTAGTCATTTATTTGTTTATTCTAGGAGTGTTTTTGGAGTGCATACTATATTCCAAGTGCTGAAGACACAAAGATGAATAAGACACCCTTCCTAACCTTAGGCAGCTCAGTGTTGGAAATAATTAGAAGTCAGCATGATAAAGACTGTGATAGCTGGGCTGGGCGAGGTGGCTCACACCTGTAATCCTAGCACTCTGGGAGACTGAGGCGGGTGGATCATTTGAGCTCAGGAGTTCGAAACCAGCCTGAGCAAGAGCGAGACCTGTCTCTACTATAAATAGAAACAAATTAATTGGCCAACTAATATATATAGAAAAAAATAGCCGGGAATGGTTGGCGCATGCCTGTAGTCCCAGCTACTCAGGAGGCTGAGGCAGCAGGATTGCTTGAGCCCGGGAGTTTGAGGTTGCTGTGAGCTAGGCTGACGTCACGGCGCTCACTTTAGCCTGGGCGACAGAGTGAGACTCTATCTCAAAAAAAAAAATTAGCCGGGCATGGTGGTGCACACCTGTAGTCCCAGCCATTTGGGAGGCTGAGGCAGGAGGATTGCTTGAGCCTAGAAGTTTGAGGTTGCTGTGAGCTAGGCTGATGTCATGGCACTCTAGCCCGGGCAACAGAGTGAGACTCTGTCTAAGAAAAAAAAAAAAAAAGACTATGATAGGGGCATGAATAAGGTGCTTTGGGACCCCAGAGAAGGGAGCTCTTGACAGACTTGGGAGATTAGGCAAGGGTTCACAGATAAGGGACACTGAACTAACATAAAGGGATGAAGGTATATGTAGTGTCTAGTACCAAGCTACTCAAGAGGCTGAAGCAGGAGGCGCTCGTGAGTTGAAGATTTCGAGGCTATAGTAATTGTGTCTGTGAAGAATCACTGCACTCCAGCCTTGTCTCTAAAAAAAAAAAAAAAAAGGCTGCAGCAGAAATGGAAGGTTTGAGTTGGGTTGGATGTGAAAGTGTTCTAACTTTAGGGCACTGCCACCCAGTATCCAAGTATCATATACTTTTTGCAAGAGCAGTGGTTCTCAAACTCAGAATCACCTGCAGGGCTTGTTGGAACAAAGATTGCCTGGTCTCACCTCAGAGTTTCTTATTCAGTAGGTGTGGAGTGGAGCCCAGGAATTTGCATTTCTAAGTTCCCAGGAGGCATAAAGACTAGTGGTTCTCAAATGTAGTATGCTGCTTCCAAGCTTTGAAAATAACCACTTAGCCTTATCTGTAAAATAGGAATTATAAGAGTACCAACTTCAGAAGGTTATGAATGCTAAAGGACATATTACACATAGGCAGTTAACACTCTGTTACACAGAAAGCACTTGAAAAATAGTCCTTATTATTACGATTGTTAGGTAGTAGGGAGTGGCTACAGGCAAGAAAATGGCTTTTCTTGGCAAGAAAATGGCTTATCAGATGTGCATTTTTTTAAAAAAATCCCTGTGTTATTCAGGTGGGGTCAAGAACTGGGCTGTGGTTTGAATCCTTGTCACCTGTTAGGAGGCAGTTTACACAGTTCTAGCAAGAGACTAGGAGGTCCAAACTAAGCCCTGGGGATGAAGAAGGAATGAATTTGAGGGCTACTAGGGGCTGAAATCCAGGCAAACCACGACACTCTAGCCTGGGCAACAGAGCTCTGTCTCAAAAAAATAAAATAAAAATATAAATTTCATATATTTATAGATTCTCTTGATTAAAAATGATTTTTATAAAATTTCCAACATTATGTGTCGTGTAAAAAGTAAAAATTTCTTCTAATTCCACCTCCAGAAGTGACTTCTGTTGATAGCTTGCTTTATATGCCTTAAGATACTTTTTCTGGAAATTCATATGTATCAATATTTTTTTTTTTTTTGAGACAGAGTCTCGCTTTGTTGCCCAGGCTAGAGTGAGTGCCATGGCGTCAGCCTAGCTCATAGCAACCTCAAACTCCTGGCTCAAGCAATCCTCCTGCCTCAGCCTCCCGAGTAGCTGGGACTACAGGCATTCGCCACCATGCCCGGCTAATTTTTTGTATATATATTAGTTGGCCAATTAATTTCTTTCTATTTTATAGTAGAGACGGGGGTCTCGCTCTTGCTCAGGCTGGTTTCGAACTCCTGACCTCGAGCAATCCGCCTGCCTCGGCCGCCTCCCAGAGAGCTAGGATTACAGGCGTGAGCCACCGCGCCCGGCCTCATATGTATCAATATTTTTTTAAAAGCATTATTCCATAAAAACTGGTTTCATCTTACTTTTTTCACTTAATACAATGACTCAGACCTCAGAGTTTTTTTTTTGTTTTTTTTTTTTTTTTGGAGACAGGATCTCGCTCTGTTGCCCAGGCTAGAGTGCAGTAGTATCATCATAGCTCACTGCAACCACAAACTCCTGGGCTCAAGCAATCCTCCTGCCTCAGCCTCCTGAGTAGCTGGGACTACAGGCACACACTACCATGGCCACCTAATTTTTTCTATTTTTGTAGATATGTGTCTTGTTATGTTACTCAGGATGGTCTCAAACTCCTGCCCTCAATCCTTCTGCCTTGGTCTCCCACAGTGCTGGATTACAGGCGTGAGTCACTGTGCCCAGCCACCTTTTTCTTTTTAGTGTCTGCACAGTATCTCATTTTAGGGAGGTCTCAGAGGTCATCTAACATTTCCTTATTAATGGACATTTGGGGCCTAAGAGGCTCTAGAATCAGGTTTAGGCTTCTCCTTTGAGAGCAGAGATTTGAGAGCAGTTATCCCAAGGGTGGGCACTTGCTGGGGCTTTGACCAATTGTACCGAACCTTTCTGAGCCTCTCACCTGCCTGTGTCACAGGTGGCTGTGAGACTCCAGTTTGGTGGGGCATGTTGCGGTGCTTATTTAGGATGGTTTGGTCATGATTGTTGGGTGGGTGTAAATAAGCAGCTTCTAGACTTGCTTTTTGATAGAGGACAAGTGGTGGGGGTCCTAGGTAGGTGAGGATTTTATGCCCATTTTTGCCTTGCCTCTGGTCCACCTAGGGATGCTGACCCCCTGAGCCTCGCAGGGGCAGTAAAGGCTTGTTGTCTCTCTTCTCACAGGTGCAGCCCATCCAGCCCACATCAGCAGTGCCCCAGCCTGCTGTGGTCATTGCCAGCCCAGCTCCGGCAGCCAAGCCATCTGCCTCTGCTCCCATCCCAATCACCTGCTCAGAGACCCCCACTGTCAGCCAGTTGGTGTCCAGTAAGTGGCTCCTGGAGGAGGAGTATGGGGAAGTGGGGGAAGCATTTATTTGGGTCCCCAACCTCTTCAGATGCTGCTTTCCTTAATAAGCTTCCTGGGGCCCAAAGAGGGAGGGCAGAAACCCAATGCAAGGGGTTGACTTTCTTATTCCCATTCCTGTTGAGCTGGATTCTGGGCATGAGGATGGTGGAGGCTGCTTAGTTGGCTGTTTGGCTGCTTCTCTGAGAGGCCAAGCCATTGGCTGTCTCTGCTGTGGTCTCTCACCTAGTATTTGAGGAATGTGGATGGCCAACAGGTGTGTTTGGGGCCAGGCATAGGGAGGATGGGGAAGGTCAACAGTTAGAGCTGGAAAAACTTAAAAATAGACCCTCATCGCCAGAGAGCCTGGTTCAGGCCTCTTTTCCCCAAGCCTTGTTTGTCTTGGGGACAGGGGTGATGAGTGTCTTAAGGGTGCACAAGCCTTTTGCCAGATGTCCTCATTGCCCCCCTGACTACCAGTCCAGACCAGTGAACCAGATAAGCAGTGATGATTCCTATCTTACACACTCATCCCTGGTCCCTCCCTCTGGCCTAGAGCCACATACTCCAAGTCTGGATGAGGATGGGATCAACTTAGAAGAGATCCGAGAGTTTGCCAAGAACTTTAAGATCCGGCGGCTCTCCCTGGGCCTTACACAGACCCAGGTGGGTCAGGCTCTGACTGCGACAGAAGGTCCAGCCTACAGCCAGTCAGCCATCTGCCGGTGAGTAAAGCTGCCCTGGACAGGATCAGGGCCTGCTTGGGTGTTTGGTGCCATTGGGCACTCATGGGGACCCAGTCAGCTGGTCACTGTCCATGTTCCCCCTTGCTCCTTCCTTCTTCCAGATAAAGAAGATTGTCCTAAGGGTAGACACGTTCAGCTGGGGTAGCCAAAGACTGACCCAGATTTTGGGGGCGCTGTGAAGTTTATCCTCCAATCCTAAGCATTTATATGGTCTTCTTTGGCGAACCCAAGACCTTAATTCATTTAGGAATCCTATTGAGAAAGGAGTACAGCTTACAAAATTAAACAGAGTAGGGACCTCTGTGTTGGTCCTCAACTATAAACTACCATACTCCCTCATGTTCCCATCTCCCCCTCTTAAAAGCATGACTATAAAGTAATATAACTAATTTTTTTGCATGCAGCTGACAAACTGGTTTTGGTGCCAGTACCAAAGGAGAGGGTAGTAGAGAGTTTCAAACAAGGAGAAGTGTGTGGCTCAGGGATGGCCAAAAGGTTTCATTTGTCTGCCAACTCCATTGACTAGACCCAGAGTGACTATTAGAGTGCCTACAACGCCACATTGAGAATTCTGTTGCCACATCCAGGCTCAGCCAGAAAGAGTAGCCCAACTTGTATCAGTCTGCCATGGGAGTGCGATTGCTCTTATGACATCTGGATGTCATCTCAAGATGACTCCTCAAAGGCCTTCACTCATTTAGGTGAAAGTTCTGGTATGTTGTTCATAAAGTAGTTGTACTATTATCATTGCACTACTGATTGAGCTAAGGTCATAGAATGGTTTCCCTGTTAGGACCTGGGAAAACAGAGAGTGAGGAGTCTGGGCTTGGCCGAGCTAGAGGGGCCCTGGGTCGGTGTCGCCAGCCTCCAGGGGAGCAGCCTTCGAGGATAGTGCTTACACCTGAGTGCAGGGTGTGCTGAAGTGACTGAGGCACTCTCACTGTCTCTTCCTGGACATTGGTTGCGCACAGGTTTGAGAAGCTGGACATCACACCCAAGAGTGCCCAGAAGCTGAAGCCGGTGCTGGAGAAGTGGTTGAATGAGGCCGAACTCCGGAACCAGGAAGGCCAGCAAAACCTGATGGAGTTTGTGGGAGGTGAGCCCTCCAAGAAACGCAAACGCCGCACCTCCTTCACCCCCCAGGCCATAGAGGCTCTCAATGCCTACTTTGAGAAGAACCCACTGCCCACGGGCCAGGAGATCACTGAGATTGCTAAGGAGCTCAACTATGACCGCGAGGTCGTGCGGGTCTGGTTCTGCAATCGGCGCCAGACGCTCAAGAACACCAGCAAGCTGAACGTCTTTCAGATCCCTTAGGGCTCAGCCCCCAGCCCTGTGTCCCAGCACTTTGTATTTTCCCCTTGGCTCCCGGCTGCAGCCACTGCCATGACAACACGTGCAGCCGTGCAGCCGTGCTTGCCCTAGGTCATGAGACTCCACTGTGTGCATGTGCGTCGATGCCTCCCTCTTCTCCCCCACATATCTCACACCATGGGGAGGCCTGAGGAGCCCCCGTGAGAGCTCCAGGCTCTAGGCTGGCCATGCTGAAGAAGGATTTGTGATATCACTTAGAGAAGCACTTTGCTAACATGGTTTCTGAAGGGTGAATTCTGGTTGGGAACCAGAAAGTCCTGGGCTTTGGGATAGGGCTGTAGCAGCTCCTAAGGCCATTAGCTCTTGCTTTTGATGGCATTCCCTTTCCACCCCCTGTTCTCCTTTGTTCCTCTGTGTTAGTGTGGCAGGTATGATACTTCATCCAGTGGAGCCACAACCCCCTGCAGCCCCCCCCCTTTGCCTGCGGGCACATTGTTCTCCTGAAAGGACCCAGGAGATAAAATTCAGAAAAGTGTGCTGTGCTGCTTACAAGGTCAGACTCGATGTCTGCCTTGACCTCAAGGTCGGAAGGGTCCCCTAGCCCTGGGGCCAGAACATGTAGTCTTCTCTCCCACCTCTCCCTGGTTCCTTTGAGGGAACAGTTGCACTAAAATAGAACCTGTTCTTTTGTAATCCATGTTGGAAGGAAGCAAGAGTGAACTGTACCTGTCCTGGGCTTGTCCTGGGTCTGCTGCAGGTTAGGAATTTAAAAAATAAGGCAATTTTCCCTGATTTTAATCTAATCTATGTCCATAGCCATCCCTCCCACAAAAACAGTATGGGTTAAGGGAATTTGCAGCCTGAAAAATCCCACTACAAGTAGGCAGCTCTGGAGAAAATTAAGGAAAGGAATGCTAACTTTCACTTTCTCTTGTCCCCAGAACCACCCCCAACCCAGTACTGAGGCCTTCTCAAAACAAGCAAATTAAACAATAAACCAGACAGCAAGGCCCTGGGGGAAAGGACAACATCCTTGAGAGAGCTGATGACAGCCCAGAACGGTCTCTTGTGGAAGCTGACTTAACTCTAATTTTCTTTTTCTTTTTTTTTTTTTTTTTGAGACAGAATCTCACTTTGTTGTCCAGGCTAGAGTGAGTGCCGTGCCATCAGCCTAGCTCACAGCAACCTCAAACTCCTGGGCTCAAGCGATCCTTCTGCCTCAGCCTCCCGAGTAGCTGGGACTACAGGCATGCGCCACCATGCCCGGCTAATTTTATATATATATTAGTTGGCCAATTAATTTCTTTCTATTTATAGTAGAGACAGGGTCTTGCTCTTGCTCAGGCTGGTTTCGAACTCCTGAGCTCAAATGATCCATCCGCCTCGGCCTCCCAGAGAGCTAGGATTACAGGCGTGAGCCACCACGCCCGGCCTTCTAATTTTCTTTATAATTTTAAGCCTTGGATACTGGAGGAGAAATCTCATTTTTTCCAGAGTCTTAGACCATGTATATGTGTAAACAATCCCCCCAGTGCTCCTCTGAGTCAAGAATATCCCAGATTAGGATGGATTTTGCCTTTGGAGGGGTCGTTATAGCACATTGGGGGTTGGAATCTCATCTAAGCTGCTAAGTGAGTGTCCAGCCAGCCCCTAAAATTCAGTATGTGACTTTAGGAGGTCAGGAGAGAACTCAAGAGATTTGTTTAGATGGTCCTGGGCTTGCTGTGTAGACCATCCCTAAAGGGGTCTAGCACCCCCTGACTTCACTACTTTTACCCTTCCAGAGCCTGGTCTCTAGCAGTTGCCCTCCACCCTGAGGGAGTGACCGCTAGGCAAGGGCACATCCCCGCCTCTAGCCCAGCTTCTTCTGTGTTTCCTTTCCCACTTACGACTGGTCACTTCCAGGCCCCGCAATGGCACTGTGGCCACCCTCTTGGTAGCCCTGCCAGTGAGCAGAGGAGAGTTGTGTGCTGAACTGTCACACACACACACACACACACACACACACACACACACACAGACACAGACGTGCACATACACATACGCACATGCCCCTCCGAGTTCGGGCCAACCAGACCTGCCAGAGTGTGGTGGAGGCGAAGGGGCAGGTGAGCAGCTTGCCGGACCCAGCCTCCCAGGAGACTGTGTCTCCAGTGGGAAGTCTCCACGCTCTAGTTCAGGGTTATCGACCTGCCTCAATAAGATGACAAACTCTTGTGGGAGGGGTGTGGTAAACAAGTTTTCAGTAAGAATAGTTGAAGTACTAGAGTTTGTAAAGGATTCAGTGACTTCCCTTCAATAAATTAGAGAGATGCAGATTTTCCTGCTCAAACACTTGCTTTCACGTATGCTTTCTTTTTTGGGGAGAGACAAGTGGATCACAGCTGCTACCCTGGGAATAGCATATAATCCAGGGTGTGTCCGTGGTGGTGGACTTGCCGGAGGACACCATCTATCTGTGTCATGGCAGGAAAAAAAATAATGAGCCACTGGCCTAAATTAGGCCTGGCCATGCTTTCTAGGCCCCTCCCTCATCTAAATCTGTCTTTCCAAGGCTGAGCTAGAATTAAACCATTTTCTCCTCTGCTACAAGGATGGGTTGGTCATTCAGAGGGAGAATGTTTGCAGGCTGAATTCCCTAGCAGGGTGTCCCTGAAGCAAACCCAAAGCAGAGCTCACTGGCCTATGACCTTTTCCCATTGCTCCCCCAGATCCCTGGGAAGCAGCTGAGGCCTGGGCCACTCACCTATGAGGTGGATTTCTTTTTTGTTTTTTGGTAGCATCAGGCTCTGAAAAGAGTTGATATAAATTGTGGGTTTTTTTTGTTTGTTTTTTTTGTTTTTTTTTTTTTGAGACAGAGTCTCGCTTGTTGCCCAGGCTAGAGTGAGTGCCGTGGCGTCAGCCTAGCTCACAGCAACCTCAAACTCCTGGGCTCAAGCAATCCTGCTGCCTCAGCCTCCCGAGTAGCTGGGACTACAGGCATGCGCCACCATGCCCGGCTAATTTTATACATATATTAGTTGACCAATTAATTTCTTTCTATTTATAGTAGAGACGGGGTCTCGCTCTTGCTCAGGCTGGTTTCGAACTCCTGACCTCGAGCAATCCGCCCGCCTCAGCCTCCCAGAGTGCTAGGATTACAGGCGTGAGCCACCGCGCCCGGCTTAAATTGTGTTTTGAAAGCAGCTCTCTGGACTTAAACCAGAGCTTGGTGGGTCCTTTACCATGGAAAGAGAGGAAAATGGACAGAAATTGTTTAACTGTGTATAATTTTATTTTAAATGAAAGATCAAAACTTTCTGTGGCCTGGTGAATCACCTGGGGCCTTGACCCTGCACTAACCATGGCGTTCTATCCAGGTGGAGTCCAGGGAATGAATTCGGCCAAATGGGCTAAGGACACACTTGAGTTTGTAATTCGAGACCCTGACATGTTTATGTTCTTGGAAATCTTGTCACCTGTACCCAGATTTCCTTCCTGCCTCATAGGCCAGGCTCTGACTGAGGTTCTATCTCCAAGCATGGCAAGGCCTACTGAGGGCTGGAGGGAGGGGTAGGGAGGAGAGAGGAGAATGGGGGAGAAGCACTTGATGTAGTTGTGTGGAATAAACAGTATTTTTTCTTTTGTACTGGCCTTCTTGTTTCTTGTTCACTTTTCAGGGTGGAGATATAAGAGAGCCAGTGTCAGAGGCCAGGGAAGTGGCAGGGAGTGGCTTTTGCTGTCAGCTTGCAGCTTGGAAAATCCCAAGGCAAGAGGGCAAGGGTTAGTGCCTTGGATTCCTACTTCAGAAGGCCCTGCTTGGGCCCTTCCACCATGACCCTCCTGGGGGGCACAGGGTCTGCAGTGCCAAGGGGTATGTCCTTCCTTCTTGTAGACCACTCTTCTTCTCGACTCCTAGGACCTCAGAATTCTTGTTGTGCCTACTTCCTGGACCCGTCTTCTCTGAGTCCTAAGGACAGACAGACTGTGCTGTTGGTGTACACACTTGTAGGTCCAAGGGGTAGCTGCCTTAGTCTGTTCTGGTTGCTATAATAGAGTACCTTAGACTGGGTGGCATATAAACAACAGAAATTTATTGCTCACAGCTGTGGAAACTGGGAAGTCCAAGATCAAGGTGCTAGCAGATTCTGTGTCTGGTAAGGGCCCTCTTCCTCATATATGGGCATCTTTTCATTCTAATCTCACATGATAGAAGGGCAAAAAATCTCCCTTGGACCTTTTTTATAAAGGCACTAACCCCATTTGACTTAATCACTTCCCCAAAGGCTCCACCTCTGAATACGGCTGGCCCTCTGAAGCCCCAGGTTCTGCATCTGTGGATTCAACCAACAGCAGATTGAAAATATATTAAAAAAAATACAAAGATAAAAAATAATATAAACAGAAAAGACCAATATGGCATAACAACTGTTACACAGTCTTACATTTTTAGGTGTCTATAGAGTATCTAGAGAGATTTTAAGTATACAGACAATCTTGTACGTAGTACGAAAATTACTATGCCTTTTTGTTTTTTTTTTTTGAGACAGAGTCTAACCTGTTGTGCCCAGGCTAGAGTGAGTGCCTGGCAGTCAGCCTAGCTCACAACCTCAAACTCCTGGCTCAAGCAATCCTCCTGCCTCAGCCTCCCAGTAGCTGGGACTACAGGCATGCGCCACATGCCCGGCTAATTTTTTCTACTATATTATTAGTTGGCCAATTAATTTCTTTCTATTTATAGTAGAGACGAGGTCTGCTCTTGCTCAGGCTGGTTTCGAACCCTGACCTTGAGCAATCCGCCCGTCGGCCTCCAGAGGAGCTAGGATTACAGGCGTAGCCATGCACCCGCCGACTATGCATGTTATGAGTAATGGACGTGTGAGCATCCATGGATTTTGGTATCTGGGTCCTGGAACAATTCTCTGCAGATACGACAGCATGACTGTGACTGTCCACAATGTGGGATTAAATTTCAGCAAATGAATTTTGGGGGGACAGTTAAAATTCAGAGCCAGCAGTGGCAAAGGACAGCTGTTTGTTGGAGGAGTTGGTGCAGAGCTGGACGTGTAGGCTGAGCGTCTAGCACAGTGACACGGGCCTTTGCAGGAGAAGATGTGGGAGGTGAAGAGAAGAGCAACTAAGGTGGGAGCTTGGCTGGCGGGCACATTGTAGCACGGGAAACTTCAGGAGTCCTAGCAGTTCCAACTTGCAAACTGCCTGTAAGGTCATTAGTTGGAGGGGGTGGGGGGTAGTACTGTTGTGGTTAGGTGGTAGGTGTGGTGTGTGTGTTGTGTGTGTAGCGTTGGTGATGACGGTGTGTGGGTGTGGAGGTGTGATAGAGCAGGTTCGGTGGTTTGTTGCGGTTCCCCAGACCTGCACCTGAGTTAGAGCTGGGAGGCATATTAATCATGAGGCTTGCTATCGTTCCTAGGAGTGCGGTTCATGCCATCTCCCTTATAGTTCTGTCTAACCTGATAGTTGCATGAGGCTACATAATCTAAACTGGTGAGAGTACGGACATCACCTTTGATTCTAGCCCAGTCAGCATTCCGCGAGCTGGGCACTGTGGGTGGTGTCTGGACCATGTCTGCATCACCCACGGTACTCAGGGGGATGATGAATGTCTAAGACTCTGATGCAAGCTTAGGAATCAGAGGAGGCTGTTACAGTTACCCTGGATAATAAGGAGCAAAAAAAGTCAGATGAAGCAGCACTTCCCGCGGTGCATAATCTTACAACCGTGATGATTACCGTAATACGTCACTGGGCTGGTGTCCACAGATCAGGCCTTGCGAATAGGTGCTTGTAAATGTCAGGGATGGAATGAGGAATGCATTCCTACCCTCGTCTTCAAGGAAATAATGACAGCTGAGGTCACTGGAGACTGTTAAGGAACAGATTTGCTGCTTAGCCATGCAGAGAGGTTTGGTCTGTGGAATGTGGGCAGTGATGAAATCTGGGCTGCAAACTCCGCCCTGACCAGGAGAGAGAGAGAGCTCCAGCAGTTCCCACCAGCAGAAGTCAGTAGGAGTTGATAGCTCTTGGCTCAGGACCAGTTGAGAGTGGTTCCTGGAGTTGGCCTGAGGCTTTAGAGAAAGGT